TTTCACGTTCTACTGTGTTTCTCCTTCTAACTGTCAGAGAACCATTCACACTCACATTCACACCAACGTCATTTGACACTTGTTATTTTCCAGGTAGTCACACTTAAATTTCTGCAACATTGCGCAGGCACAGAGACATTAATCGTCATCATCCATATTTAACTACAAGGAACCCAGACACTGATCTTTTTTCTTCCTGCCAGTAGAACCGATTTCTGGGGTTTCTAACATTGCAACATCACGCTAGCTTTTAGACAAATGTCTGCCGTACTAAAGCCACGGGTCAATTATTATGTCCCGGAGTTTATGCACCCAGGAGAACTCTTTAGCTTCCATGCTAACAGTAACACAAATAATTAATGGGTTGATGAGCAGCATGCGCAGGCACAGAGGGACTGATGATGAATTTGCGAGGAGACTTATTTTGAGTAAACAGCTTCAGATTGGAATCGTTCACAGGTAAATTAAATATGGTTTTATTTGCTTAAATATCGGCTTGTTGTTGCAGTAACTTTCCAAACCTGCTGTTATTGAAATCTGAATCTATTTTATGTTGACGCTGGTGCGACTCCTTCATCGCAGTATTGTTAAATTTTAAAAATGTCTCGTCATGTTATATCTAGACTGTACTGTATTAAAGTGCACGTTTGGCCAAATTTAGACGGCAGTCTTGGGCAAAATTATCTTGCTCTCATGAAGTACTGTGACTAAACTATGTAACCACCAACCAGTCATTTAGAAAATACTAGTTTTGTTGACTTAGGGTTTATGGTCCACAGTTTAAAATACTGAAAAAGAACGTTTAATTCTTAAAATAATTTACTTTACTTTATTCGTTTACGAGAAAATCCAGACACTGCGTCATCTATTTAGTAGCGTTTTCTTCTTATTTATTTAAGCTCATAATCCTAACTAATAGTTGAGCGTTTTCTGTCACGGCACAATTTTTTTTTATCCAAAACCTGCTTTAAATTAGCGTAGAATGGCCCTAATTAGGACACAGCCGGCAGCGCTGGGCCATAAAGTGGCTGCCGTGAAACGTTAGCACGCCACTGCCCATGCTAACAGAGCTAACACCTCCTCTGTGGCTCAGAGGGAAAACCACTCCAACTCCATCCTCACACACCTGCCAGGCGAAAAAAAAAATCGACGGTGACGACCGTCTGGTAAACCTGTTCTAACACCACGTCAGAGCGGTTTAATTAAGAACGGCGGCTCTGCTGAGCGCTCACTTCACCCGACTCCTGCCTCCAGATCTTTTATTTATTCAAAGACTGAGGTCAGCGACCAGCAGTAATGGTCCGGGGAGGAGGGGGGACGGGGAGGGCAGATTTCTAACCCAAACATATCTGCAGTTGTGCACATTTTTTTTTCCTGGTTCTCTTTCTTCTAATTCGCCCACCAGAGCTACTGCGGTCGAGGCTCATGACTAAGGTTTTACTGGCCGGGGCGACACGACTTCGTAACCGTCTGTAGCTGTGAGTGAGGACGCAGTGGAAAAGCTTGACTCACCCTCGTCTGGACAGGAAGTGACTGAGGCCTCTGGTCCGTCTACACAGCATACCTACGCCATCCCATTCACAAATGTGACATCTCTGGACAAGGGTCCTGGAACGCACATGCCGTCCCCCATCTGTTTTAACACATGAGGTAGAAACCAGGCGGGGGGAAGCGGGGGGTCGGAGGGGCAGCGTTGACGTGAGGAGTGACGAGTCGAGGGGTTTGGAGAATAAACGGGGGCTAATGGCTGCACCGTGTGTTGATCTAAACTTTACAGGAAACCCTGAAATTGAGGTTGGCGTTTCCCAGCATAAGGTTCGAGTCCCTGGAGAGGCTTCGGAGTTGATAAATATTGAACTCATGTTTTATTTTGTGCAAGTGTTTTCGTCTTTTTCTGGCGATAATGACCAAAGACAACTGAGCTATTGTCTGGGTGTTAGTCTTGGCTAACTTTTAGCTAACGTCCCAATCTGTTGCTTCAGTTATTTCAATATCATTTTAAATGCAAACTAAACTTTTTTTTCAGATTTCACTAACAAAAGTTTTTTTGAGCGGCTCACGCATTTAAGTTTTTTACCCCATAATGACCACATGGTGGCCATTTTTTTTTTGAGCGGCTCACGCATTTAAGTTTTATACCCCATGATGACCACATGGTGGCTAATTTTTCGAAGGCGAGTTGCACTGTTGGATTTTCAAAGCCTACAGAAGCCATAGTTTTCCTGTCTACGGCAGAGCTAAAAACTGAGTAAAACCAAAGGAAGGTTTTAAAAAACGGCTGTTGAAGCAGACCTGAACCACTGGGTGGCCTCCTGCCAGGGCTTTGACCGCTCCTCTGCTGCCCTCTGTCTCGTAGTGAGCTCTGTGGTGGGACTTGGGCTGAACTTCGATCTGCAAGCTGTACGGCCCCGAGCTGGAGGGCAGCTGCCAGTCCAGAGCTGGCACCGACGGGCTGTGGAGGGTGGAGAACAAGAGCAACAACATGTCAGCGTTCACAGCCAGGGACGCAGGGCTTATTTTAGATGTACTTGTCCAGATAGAACGTGCAGAACGTGTCGTAACTGTCCACGTGCCAGACTTTGTATTTAATCAACAAATTTTGTTAAACCAATACAACGCTGAGTACAGAATGTTTGAGCAAAGAAAAAATAAAAAAAATCATCTGTTACACAACTAGACCTAGAACCACGGTTTTGCTCACCTTACATATTGCTTTGGCTTGGACCAGGAGTACGGATGCTGCGGAACATCCAGGAACCCGCCGCAGTAACCTTCCTTTTTCAACGACATGCGGTTCGACGGATGATCGTCGTCACAGAGGTGCCCTGAAACCAGCTCACTGCTTCCAGGCTCCACCTTCAGGCTGACGGTGGGACTGTGCTCCAGGCTGGTTTTCCTGGCTTTCATTGGGATTCCTTCCCCCAGGTCGACCACGCCGTCCGTGGTCAAGGCGTTAATGGCGGCCAGGATGGCAGAGTTGGTGTACTGGTTGGTGTTCGGAAGCCAAGTCTCCTCCGTGACGCTGAGACGAGGGGAGGTGTGCGGGGAAGGACCGGGGGAGTGGTTGGGTGAGTACGGGTACTGTTTATGCTGAGTCCCGCTGCCGTTTAAGCTGTACTTCCTCTTTGCACCACAAGGGGAGTTGGGCCTGGAGTTTCTCTGACCCATCCATGTGTCGTCGGTGATGCTGGTCCGGGGGGAGGTGGACGGAGAGTGGCGAGGGGAGCCACCGGGGGCGCAGCCTTCACCCGGCAGGGCCAGGGTGGAACCTTTGGGGGAGACCGAGGGAGACTGCCAGGGTGAGTTCTGGGGCGAGTTGTCGTAATTGTAAGAGAATCCCGATTCGAAGGAGGCTTCAGAGTGGCAGCTGCGGGACGAGACGCTGCTGGCCGGACTGAGGCAGCTGGGGTCACGGTAGCCCTCCCCACTGGGCAGGGTCAGCGTCACGATGGAGTTGACTTGCTTGGCAACAGGAAGGCTGCTCTGCTCCACCTCATCCTCAGGAAACTGACCGTACGCCGTGATCTCGATGCGAGGACTCTCCAGGGTGGGAGCCCCGTTTGGACGGGCGCCAGGAGATGAGTAGAAGGCGGCGGCGTTGACGTCCTCCTGCGCGTCGTAGCTGTGAGGCTCGCTGACGGAGACCGAGATGGCCGGGCCGGACTGAAGGCCGTGAAACTGCAACGGGAGGCAGGGGTTGCCCAGCGGCAGGGAGAGAGTGACGTTTGGCGTGAAGGCGTACGCTTCTGCAACAAAGAGACCGAGAAGACGAAGAAGAAAATTGAGTTGGTTAGGGACATAATCAAAGACATATTCACACAGACACAGCTGCCAAGAGGAGTCTGATGAGTCCAGCTGCTGCTGCTGCTGCTGAAAACCCTAACCCTACTGGAGTGTCTCTGTCTCCCACTGTACAGGGTCTCTGATTACCCTCACCCTCAGACCAGGGTTGTACAAACTTTTTAAAAATGTGTGGTCAGATTTATTAACGTTGAACCAATCATCTCAAAGCTTTTCTTCCTGCAACTTTTGTAAATATTGTGTGAATATCATTTGGAGCTTTTCTTGCTAAGAAGGAAAGGAATCAAGGAAACGACACTAACAAGGACAGAGAGGACACTTGTGTCCTTACTGGTTTGTCAAATCCACTGAGGTTCACTGATTCTTTTGTTTTTGTGTTTTGTTTTAACAACCTCCAGTATAACCATTAGAGGTCACTAATGAGTCCATAGAGGACCTTTTAAATTGAAGCCTTTTTTTTTCTTTTAAGGCACAGAGTCCTGGGGGTCACTTATGGACCGGGTCACTTGATAATTAGTGGAAAAGTTCAAGTTGAAGAGATGATAGCTAAGACCTGAACTGAAGCAAAAACAACAACTAAACGATGGAGCCTGTCGTGTTAGCAGTCAGTAGCTAACAGGAACTTTTACCTACTTTTCTACCAACTTCTGGAACATCTGAATATCAACTGCAGCTATTCCAGAACTTTTACCTACTTTTCTACCAACTTGAAGCCACTTCTGGAACATCTGAATATCAACTGGAGCTATTCCTGCAAACGCTCACTCAAGGAATCAAGGAGACAAGGTCAAAGAGAAACAGTTTCTATCCACTGTAGTTCACTGGTTTAAAAACCTCCAGTATGACCATTAGATGTCACTAATGATCCCTCGGTGGACCTTTTAAATGTAAGCCTAATTTTCTTTTATGGCACAGAGTCCTATGGAGCAGCAGCAGCAGCAGCAGCAGCAGCAGCTGATGATGTCATCGTCCTTCTGCTGAGGCCCCTACAGTAATTCTCTGTAATTGGCAGCAGACAGGAGCTGCGGTGACTACATCTGTCTGCCGTCTTCATCCATATCAGAGCTGTGGTTCTCCAATCATCATGCTCCCTTCGACCGCAAACTCCCTTTCCCATGTTCACCCGGCCGCCCACCTACCCACCAACCCACCAACCCACCGGCCCGTGACCTCAGCCTCTGCCGTCACAGACGAGGCAGGGGTTTCAGAGTGAAGCAGCAGGAGCCTCGCTCTGGTGCTGCGGGCGTGAAGCTCCAGTACGGCGTGCACCTTCACAGCACGCAAATCGAGCCCATCCACGCCCCCCCCTCATCTCCCTCATCTCCCTCATCTCCCACTCCCTCCTCTCCTCCCCTCCAGCGTTTATTTTCGAAGCCTGTTGGAACATGAAACCAGGCCCAACAAAGGCCTCACTGTGTGTGTTTTCATAATGTTACACTTTTTATGGGGCTACAGCGGCTGCATTAAGTGGCACAAATCTGGCAACCCAGAGTGGAAAATAACCACCTCATCTCGCCTCTGGTTATTTTTAGGCCCCGGGTTATTTCTGGCTCCTTCGCTGCTGTGTCTCCCGCCTAATTTGATTTGTACAGTTAGAGCCGTTCACAGATGCTTTGCGTCAGAGGAATCGGTGCGATCAGTGACTGTGGCAGATGAGGTGTTAAAGTTTTGACCCCACAGATGTCCACCCTTTATACGAAACGCAGGCGTCAGTGGAGGTCGGTGGAAAAGTTTTCAAAAATAAAAAATAAACTGTGAGAAAATTTAAATATTTTTCAGGTGAGGTCAAATTTGTACATTAGAATCATAAAAATAAAACACGTGATGAACCGTCAACATCAACATCGCTGTGTTTAGATTGTTTCTTCCTAAGCGCCATCGTTGTTGATAATACTGACACCCAGTGTTGATAATCACACATTTCTGGGATTCTTAGCTTTATTGTTTTGTTATATATATATATATATATGTCCGTCACGGCGTGCACCTTCCCAGCACGCAAACCGAGCCCATCCACGCCCCCCCCTCATCTCCCTCATCTCCCTCATCTCCCACTCCCTCCTCTCCTCCCCTCCAGCGTTTATTTTCGAAGCCTGTTGGAACATGAAACCAGGCCCAACAAAGGCCTCACTGTGTGTGTTTTCATAATGTTACACTTTTTATGGGGCTACAGCGGCTGCATTAAGTGGCACAAATCTGGCAACCCAGAGTGGAAAATAACCACCTCATCTCGCCTCTGGTTATTTTTAGGCCCCGGGTTATTTCTGGCTCCTTCGCTGCTGTGTCTCCCGCCTAATTTGATTTGTACAGTTAGAGCCGTTCACAGATGCTTTGCGTCAGAGGAATCGGTGCGATCAGTGACTGTGGCAGATGAGGTGTTAAAGTTTTGACCCCACAGATGTCCACCCTTTATACGAAACGCAGGCGTCAGTGGAGGTCGGTGGAAAAGTTTTCAAAAATAAAAAATAAACTGTGAGAAAATTTAAATATTTTTCAGGTGAGGTCAAATTTGTACATTAGAATCATAAAAATAAAACACGTGATGAACCGTCAACATCAACATCGCTGTGTTTAGATTGTTTCTTCCTAAGCGCCATCGTTGTTGATAATACTGACACCCAGTGTTGATAATCACACATTTCTGGGATTCTTAGCTTTATTGTTTTGTTATATATATATATATATATGTATATATATATATATATATATAATAATATATATATAAAATAAAAAAAGTCCATGTTTTGCTAAGTTTAAGCTACAGTGGGCTAGTTGGTAATATCTTTAATATAGTTTTTTTTTTGGTCGATTTTAATGTCTTCATGAACCTTAATAAAATAAAATATTTCAGTTAAGTTCTTAAACAAGTTTGATGATCACTAAAAATGTTGTTTTTTTTGTTTTTGTTTACACAAAATAAACTGCAAAATAAACTGCAGCATCATATCGGCTAATTTTAGCTAGCTAGCTAGCTTTAGCTTTATGACGAACAAAGTTGTTTTTTTGTTTTTTTTAACATATGTTTATGCTGACATTCTATTGCTGGCTAAACGTTAGATTTTTTTTGTTTTTGTTTTTTTTTTAACATATGTTTATGCTGACTTTCTATTGCTGGCTAAACGTTAGCACTTTTTGCTAACTTAAACAACTGGTTGTTGTTTTGTCTTGTAAGGTAAACTAGTATATTTTATATATTTACTGTCCTTTTCTGGAATCTTCTCACACTCCGTGACACAGCAGCACAGTCTCTCTCTCTCTCTCTCTCTCTCTCTGTGTTTCATTTCTAACGCTATAATTAGACAGTAGTGAATTAGCTGATGTTCTAACAGCTCCTACCCCGCGGCTGCTAACTGCCTGCCGCCCGATGACTCTGACTCCGTTCGATACCGGTCTCAGTGCAGCCTCCATCACTGTGTGACACCGCTGTCAGCCACTCACTCATTAGCACGGCTCCAATTTGGGACTATTTAGGGAAACTGTCCTCGGTCTGTCATGAGAGGCTGAACCACTCCCACTCTGCCCGGAGCAGCAGGGTTTAGCAAATAAATATATTTTAAAAAACTAAATTTAAAAAAAGAAAGAAAGAAAAACTGCAGCCAGACTTTAACACTGAGAGTAAAGTCTGGGAGGAAAAGAAAAGAATCTTAACATGGAAATAAAATCATTTGTGCGTAAAAAGTACCAGGCACCGATAAAAGCACATTAAAAAACATCATAAACAGCTTCTTCTTCTTCTTAGTACGGTTGAAATGTTTTTTTTAAAAGAGATATAAAGAAAGATGAGTGTTGATAAAAGTCCAGTCTCACCTTCTTCAGCGGATTTCATCTTCTTTGTCTGTGGACTCGGAGCTGGAAGTTTTGAAGATCACACCGTGAGCGGAGCTGCTGTATCCATACAGGTCCTCCGGCTGCTCTGGGTCCTGTCCGAACCAAAGAAAATGTCCAACAAATGAAATAAAAGAAGAAGAAGAAGAAAAAAAAGACCTAGTGCAGAGCGACGGTTCCTATTTCGATCCTCCAAAGTGGGAAAAAAGGCGCTGCGTGAAAAATGACGTGGACGTGGTCGCGGCTGGAGCAGATGTTCAGCCAGATGTTGAGGACTTTTTTTTTTTTTTCAATTATTATGATTGTAATGGTAAAGTTGTGCGGGACTTTGGGACTCGGTGCCGGGGGATCCTGCCTCTGCCTGCTCGCTGTGACGCACTGCTCCAGCTCAGCGAGGACTTCTGCGCTTTTAAACCGGGGATCACCCTCGGCGGCGGGGCCCCGCCCTCCGGACTCTGACGCACTTGCGCGTCCGAGCTCCAGATGGATCCAATGGAGATCCTCTTGAACTGTCACACGCAAACGCAACGTGCACGCGCACACGCGAACACGTCATAATGCATAAGTCAGGGGTCTGTAAAGTTCCACAGTTAAAGGGTTTTGTTTTTTTCCAGGTCAAGCTTGAGGACGTATATATCAGTACATCAGTAATACTGCAGTAATACTACAGGCGCATATACAACAGTATATATATATATATATATATAAAGCAATTTAACAGGAAGCTGAGAAATTAATGTTAATTAACCAGTTATATAACGGAAAAAAAACACTGGCTCGCTGTATCTAACTGTGCACCCCTTAAAAATTGTTTCAAAGTTGATTGAACCCAATCATTTCGCTGAGTCCCGCCAATATTTATTTTATTTAATTTTTTCAAGCAGGCCCAGGATAAATGTTGTCCAATATTTAATTTATCTTACAGGAAGTCTTCTTTTCCAGACCTCAAAATGTCCCAAAAAAACTGATTTAGTTGAAAACTGTTTTATATACTTATATAAAAAAGTCTCCTACAATTAAAAAACTCAATCTTTACCCCTGTATCGTTACATACGTATCGTTCTGGCCAGATTTTTATGGCCCACACACACAGCCCTACCAGCAGGGGTAGGGGTGCAGGTGCTAATCCCTCTTATGCTCTAGGTGGCGCCGGGCCAGAGGAACCCTGACTGAGCAGCTGAATGAAGATTTACGTGTTCCTTGATCCCTGCTAGCATTTTACATTTAGCCGCTGCCGTTTAGTCATCCATCATCAGTTCAGCTGCACACGCAGCCTCGTGGACGTAAAAGGTGAAAACTTTGACGGCT